CCCTCGCCTCCTGGCAGACGCGGTACTGGTCGATGGCCCACACCGTGGGCACGTGGGTGGCGAGGAGCTGGTACTGGGTCAGCGTGGCGTTGCAGGCGCGGGCACAGATGAGCCGGGTCTTGCCCACCGCGTTGTCCCCGACCACGACGCACTTGATAGTTTCTACGTTTGGCCTCTCATAATCCATGTCAGAATCCATTAATTGGGACCTGCGGGGGGAAGGGGAGCGGGGGTCAGCAAATACAGCCGGGACAAGGCGGGGGGGGTGACGGGACGGGACGGGACGCCGAGGGGGTGAAGCACCAAGATGATGCTGATGCTCAGCTCGGCGCCGCCAGCCCTCGCAGCACAGGGCAAGCTGCGAACGCCGGTGAAGGCAGTGAGCGAAGGCAGCTGCCCGCCCCTCCCCGGCTCGCGCTCCCCGCCAGTCCCCTTTAAAATTTAACGTTCTGGTGGCAGCGTGCGTCGCTCTGCCGCGCGTCAGACACATGCCCTGCGTTAGATTCGACTCTCCGCCCTCCCTGTCTCTCCGGCCCTGGCTCATGCTTGTTCATGTGAGATGAGGCTTTTTTTTTTTTTTTTTTTTTTTTTGTCCCTCCCACTTTCCCCTTTCTCCCGTGAGATACAGCCTTGTTGATCATGGTCTGTTCCCCTCCTCCTTTCCCCTTTCTCCCTCTCCAGCGTTTGCAAGCGAAGCTTCCAGATCCGCCCAACCGAGCAGAGACCCGGGCACTGCCAGCCTTTCCGGCTGCCTGTCTCGAGGGAGCACCAGGTCTGTCCCTTGACACCCACCTGCCCTCCCTTTTCCCACCCCGTTCCCGGAGGGGATATTTGCTCCCAGCCAAGAGCAGCAAAGGAGAAGAAACTCATCACGTTTCCAGGAGGCTCAGCAGCCGCCCTTGGGTTTGGGAGGCTCCCAGCACCGCCGGCCTCCCAGGACCAGTTGTGACCCGAACCCTCCCGAGAGGGAGGTTGGTGCTGCGGGTGCCGCGAAGCCGAAGCCAAGAGCCCGTATCCTGCGAGCAGGCGTGCCCAGGTGTACCACCGCTCGCCCCGGAGCCTAAATCAGCCAGAACTAACCCATCCCAGCATTAAGCCAGAGACTGATGAGATTTCCAGAGGGAAGAAGTGGAGGGAAAGGGAGAAGGACAAAAAAAAGCCCCACTTTCCAATTGCTCTGAACTTCCCAAACCCACAGATCTCTTCCCCCCCTTGTCACTCCCTCCTGGCACCGGCCTCCCGAGCTGCTATAATAAACCACCAGCGCAAAGGCTCAGTGAGCTAAAATACCCAGTAACGATGGCAACCGAGCCCCGCGCGCGGGGACCACGGACGCAGCGCCCCAAACTAGCAGCCTGGCAAGGACTTTCCAATGTTAGCACCTCCCTCCCGTGCCCAAGCTCTCTGAGCCCACCTGGCTACACCACGCCTGGAGGAGGTGGGGAGGGCTCAGCACCACGCAGGATTGGGGCCACAAGTGTAGGCAAAGGCCAGGTGGCACAAATCCAGGTCACTTGAGGTGCCAGCGCTTAGACTATCGGCTGGTCCCAAGGCAAAACTTCTCTGAGGAGTTGTCACCGCATGCCACGTCCCCTCCATCCTTTGGGATGTGGGGAATGCTGTCTGCTGAGGGCACTGCAAACCAGGAACAGCAACCTCCTGGGGCTCTGCGTGGCGAAAAGGAGTCAGAGCAGGTCTGACTTCTGTCTCCTTCCCCATTAGCCCCTGGAAATTTGTTTTCATCTCATGCATCCCCCTCCACTGCCGTGCCCGGTCCCCTGCTCCTCCTGAGGCTCAGCTTTGCTCCTTGGGGCCGGGAGATCTCCGAGGGGTTTGTTAGTGCTCAGGGAGCTTCCCTGCGGTTATTTTTAGGGCCAGCTGTGCTCTCAAGTTGGCCGAGCTCATTCAGCCGGTGGGGGATAAGGCGCATGGAGATGGCAACTGCGGTCGGCAGTTTGGATGCTTGCCCCGCGTGGGGAGCTCAGCCCGCGCCCAGCCAAGCAGCGGGGACTCGGGAGCCTGCTCGGAAAGTCCGGTGCCCCAAGGGAATTAAGGGATAAATGCAAATGGGATCCGTGCCTGTGGTGAGGAAAGGAAGAGGGAGACAGCAGCGGACACAAAATGAAGGCTCCAAATAAAGCCGAAGCACATTGGGGGAACTCCAGCGTCCCTGTGGGGGTGGCTCACAGCCCCCCACCCACAAGACATCGTCCTGGGAGGGGGCTGAGCCTCTTCACAGGGACAATTTCAGCAGCATCAAGCCGACACCTCCGCAGCCCCCCTCCTCACCTTCCCC